AAAAGTTACAAAGGGGGGTGTCTGGGAACTTACAGCTAACAGGGTTCTGGCAAACGTAATCAAGGGCAGTTAGCAGGCTGATGATCCACGTGGCTTGATATTTCAAGGTAGGGAGTAAATTCAGATCCCAACATCAGAATTTATGAGGCGTGGCTGAGGTTTCAGAGAGGGTTGTTATCTGTGAAAGTCCTAAGCAACCTCTTTCTACTTGGAACCTCACTTTCCTCTGGAACTTAACCCCTGACCTACTGCAGTCCTAAAGTCAGGAAATACCACAGAAAGCTCGGTGCAAACCATTCTGGAAAAGCTGCAGAAGGTGATCGCCTAAGACAGGCCAAGATATCGAAATATCTGAAATTCCAGACGGCCCCCACCTAGCTGCCCCCCACCTAGGTGCGGTGACCAATATCTAAACCAGAAGCCCTGCAGCTTGGCACTTAACCCCCTTGCGACACCCTTTGAACTAACCAATAATCATTTCCAGATTCTTTCCCGCCACTTGATATGCTAATCAAGTTTTAGAGTTGTTGGATTTTCCCGCAGTGTGTGATGATTTGCTAAGAGATGCTATGATGTATATGGGGTCCCTGCCTTCCCCAAAGAGTGTACAAAACTGCTGCAAACCCTGGACTCGGGGCCTCTCAGTGTCACCAGCTGCTGTGTGCAGAAGGACCCAGCTAGCTGGCAATAAATGCCTCTTTGCTGCTTACATGGATCTTGGTCTCTGGTGGTCTTTTGGGGGTCCTGAACTCCAGTTTATCAATCTGGTCATGGAGAGTCAGATTTATCAGGCGCCACTATGGTTTTAGGGAGGGTCCTTATCTGGTCCTGGAGAGCCAGGCCTGGGTGAGGTTGAAACCCCGGGCAGGAATTTCAAACAAGTTTTGAAATCTCAGTAACTGGTTCCGCCAACGTCAAAACCGTTTCTCGCTCCTTAGAAGCAGCGCGCAGCGCACCCGCCCTGGATCCTGGGGGCTTCCCCAAAGCGCCCAGCTACGCGGCCCTCCGCACCGAGGGGGGCCTGCTCACCCTGCGCTGGGCCAGGGGCCACGGGGAGGCGGCTGGGAGACCCTGGAGGGAGGAGAAATCCGGAGTTCCAGGTCGGGTGGGCGGGGTAGTCTCCGATCCCAACCCCCAGCCGGGGTGTTTCGCGGGTAGAGGGGGGAGGTGCTGGGCGTGAATAACAAAGTAATCACCTCGGAGAACCGGTCCCGCTCTGACCAGGGCCCTGGGGGAGGGGTCGACAAGGGCTCCCCTCCCCCTAGTGTCCTTTGCCGCTCTTTCTTCTGTCCCTGGAGACAGAACAATGAGCCTACTTGGGCCTCAGTGTTCTCATCTGAGAAGTGGTCTTGCAGGGCCGCCGGGGGATCAGGAGAGAAGTTAAGTGAACTCAGGCTGTGGGTAACCAGCAGGGGCCCTCCTGCCACAGGGCGTCTTTGGCCTCCACCTTGAAGTACTTTTCCAGGACCTGCGAATTACATCAACTCCAAGCCAGAAGCCCGGCTCTCCCAGAAATGTATTAATAGGCACAGGCGCCCTTCCGTCAGGAGTGGTGGGGTAGGGTTAGGGTCTCTTGGGCCGGAAACCCCCCCTAGGATGCTAGTGGAGGGTCTGGCTGGAAGGCACGTTGCCCGGCACTTTGGGTGTTCTGAAAACATTAGCAAAACATGGAGAAGGAGACAGGTTGGAGAAACATGGGGAGTCCAAAGGCTCAGGGGAGCTTGGTATGGTGGTGCGGACTGTGATCCCAGCCATTCTAGAGGTTGGACAGGAGGATCACAAGTTAAAGGCCAGCCCAACCAATTTAGGTGTTATGAGCCAGGCTGTATGGGCAAGGACCTACCTGACTCCACTCTCAGGGTGCTGAGACGCAGTATCATGTAAGAAATGTTTTACCTTTGTTCCAACCACACCTCCGCACCTTTCCTAATTGCCTAGCATAGCATACTTGACAACACAAGATAACAATGTAAAATCCTACTCATTGAGCTTTATTTTATTGAGCTTGGGCCGTGTACCTTGTCGGGAAATAATAATTGAATAATTAGATGTTCCGCCAAGGTCGCAAGTTGTGTCACAAGGCAGAGCGCTTTGCTGGTACTCAACTGGAAACATTTTGATCTATCTCTTTTAATTGTGGTTATAAATATGATTCAGTACCTTGCATTGTTTTGCTAATGGCTCTACTCAGCTGCTGCTCGTGTTATGCCAGATTCCTGGGACCCCAGTAGACCTCCAGGAGCCGAATCCGATGCAATCACACAAGAGTCTTTATTGCAAGCTCAGGCTCACAACCTTTCAGACACAGCGGTCCCAGGGAGTGAGCCCTGGTCCTTTGTTCAGTGAGATTTTATAGGTTTGGGGGGGATACTCTATGCGTCACAACATCACACAGCAAATCATTCCATACAGCGGGAAAGTCAAACAATAACTCTTAACATTGATTTGCACATTCAATGGTGGGAACAAGTTGGGTAGGGGTGATTGGTTAGTACAGAGGGGGATTCATTTGAACTGATTGGTTTAAGCCATGAGGGGTGTTCGTGCTGAACTACATGGTTTCCCAACATGTTATCAACCACCATAAACTACTTGGGGGTCATCTGGCGTCCCAGGTATTTTCCCTGTCTCATGCTGATTGGAGGTTGCTAGGGGGGTTGCCTTGGGTCCTCACCTAGCCTGACTGAGTCAGGGACACCTGGCACCGCAGACCTCTCCTGTTATTTACAGACAAACAACTCAGCAGGGTGGGTGTGTGCTTAGGAGTGCTCTGTGGGTTTTTCCAAGAACAAGGGTCACGCCTCCTTCCTTAGGACAGGCCTTAGGTAGAAGCTGCTGTTATTTATTTATTTTAAAAAATGGAGCCACATTAGTTTCTCACTCATGGCTGGCTTGCTGGTTGCTACTGCCAGCCTAACTGCATTTTTGCAGTCTTGGCCTTTAAATATCCTGATGTGTTAAAGGTGGGGGCTGCTTTTCTGAGGAGACAACTTGGTCCTGCAGGAAGCAGTCCTGACTGGTCAAAATAAAGACATTTTTTTTGGTGCTGGGGATTGAACCCAGGGCCTTGTGCATGTGCCGCAAGCACTCTACCAACTGAGCTATGTCCCCAGCCTGGAATAAGGACTCTTTAATATGGCAAACTTGGGATTTGGTGAGTTTTCTGAGTGACTTGCTCCACAACATAGGGAGATCCTGTCTGGGGAAAAAAAAGATGTAAATAGAAAAAAAAGGCTGGGGCTGGGGTTGTGTGCAAGGCCGAGCACTTGCCTGGTGTGTGGGAGGCACTGGGTTCGATCCTCAGCACTGCAGAAAAACAAAATTAAGGTATAAAAAGAACATAAGGGGGAAAATGGCTGGGAACGTAGCTCAGTGTGGACTACACCCGGGTTTAATCCCTAACACCACCAAAATAGATCAAATCCAGGGTCAGAGTGGGTGAAAGTGACACCACCGGTTACCGGTGACGAGTTCTCCCCGACACATTGAAGTTTGAACATTAGAGAAGCAAGCAGATAAATCGGGGTTTATTTTGAAAGGGGTAACTTAGACTCCTTGGGGGAGGAAGAAGGGGCCAGAGCTGGTGTCCTGGTGTCCCCAGATTGAGGTGCTCTGCCTTGTTAGATGTCCTAGGCTTCCTTTGTTCTCCCGCCCTCTCCCCTTCATCTCCTTCCTGCGGATGTGACTAGGCCCAGGAATGCTCCGTGGGAGGGCCAAGAGGTGGGAGCCCGGTGGGTTGTAGGGGGAAAGGCAGGATGGAGCAGCCCGGGACACATTAATGAGCAACTTTACAGCTCCCCTTAGGGAGGCCCAATTCCTGGGACAGGTTGCCTTAGCAACAGGTTGGAGCAGGGGCAGGTTCTTGATAAGGGTAGAGGTAGGGCTCTGAGGAATTAACATTTCAGTCCCTCAGGGGACAGTCTCCAGTTCCCAGACTCTCAAAATTGGCCTCCTTGATCCACCTGACTCGATTTGTTGTAGGGACCAAGAGGCGAGGCCAGGCACCGAAGACAGCAGGAAACAGTTTTATTTGGCTGCAGCCAGGTTCAGGGGGCACAGCTTTTGCTGTAACCAATCAATCCCCTGAACCCCGAGTTCAGGGAGTTTCAGAGTTTTATCCCCAGCATGTAAGGGGAGGGGCTCAGAAGTTCACATAAAAGCAGCTTTTTCTTTCACTGTTCTGGGAAAGTTAACCCTTCAAGGACCACACCTGAGAAGGGGAGAGCTTGTTCTCCCCTTTCTTTCCTCCCCCTGCCAGCTGTTACCATGGGCCCATTTGTAACTTATCTTAAAAATGTAGACATCTCTGTGAAGCCCAGCTCAAGGCCAGAGGCCTTGTTCTCACATTTCTACAAACTACTACACTGGATATGTTTGTGAAAAACTAGTAACTCTAGTCACCTAGAGTGCTGGTGACTTTTCTGTGGAGAAAGGGGGTGCCACTTTAGATTTACTTATCTATACCGACTGCCTGTCTAATTCTGGCTTCAAACGTACTTACCGTGCAGAGTTCCATGGTAATAATCCACTGGAGCAGGAGGTGGGACACAGTCTGTTATCCCAGGTGCCACAAGAAATCAGATAGGTGGGGCTGGGGTTGTGGCTCAGCTGTAGAGCGCTCACCTCACATGTGCAAGGCCCTGGGTTCGATCCTCAGCACCACATAAAAATAAATAAAATAAAGGTATTTTTTTAGAAAAAGAAATCAGACAGGTGCTCAAAAGTTACTGGCATGATGTTGCCCCCAAAAGGACCCCCACCATAATCGTAACACAAAAGCTTCTCTCCTCGAGATTCTTATGAAGAATGTCAACAGGACTTCTGCACTCTAGGTGACTAGAGTTACTAGTTTTTCACAAACATATCCAGTGTAGTAGTTTGTAGAAATGTGAGAACAAGGCCTCTGGCCTTGAGCTGGGCTTCACAGAGATGTCTACATTTTTAAGATAAGTTACAAATGGGCCCATGGTAACAGCTGGCAGGGGGAGGAAAGAAAGGGGAGAACAAGCTCTCCCCTTCTCAGGACTTCTGCTCAGCTGGTTTCAAGCTTTGTCCTTATAAAAGCTGGCTTTGCCATGGAGCCTGTTGCTGTGCAAAATCACTATTTCTTTTTTCCTTGGTAAAAAGTGGTGCAACCTCTGTCCAACCTAAGAATGTAGAACAAAAAGTGACTGTGAATGTGGGGCTGGGGATGTGGCTCAAGCGGTAGTGCGCTCGCCTGGCATGCGCGGGGTGCTGGGTTCCATCCTCAGCACCACATAAAAATAAAAAAATAAAGATGTTGTGTCCACCGAAAACTAGAAAATAAGTATTAAAAAATTCTCTCTCTCTCTCTCTCTTAGAAAAAAAAAAAAGTGACTGTTATGTAACCACCCACTCAAAATAAATCTCAAAGAATTTCCAGACTCCAAGGTCTAGAGATTTTTCGGCAGTAACCCCTCTGGGTCACTAGAGCAGAATTAAACCTGCTCCCCAATCAGCACTGCACCTGGCCCTGTCCAGGGACTAATTTAAAATTGGGAGGGCAGTGGGAGGGCTCTAGTTGGTGGATGACCTCCTACACTCCAGGCAACGTGATTGGAAGAGGAGGCCAAAGGGCTCTCTGTTTGATGCTCCAAATGGCTACTTTCAACCTTAACCTGATTAGATTACCGCAGACACATTTTTGTTGCTTGTTAGGAAACTCACTCTACAGGCTTAACTTTGAGAAAAGAGGACATTAATCTTACACAGCTGCTCAGGAGGCTGAGGCAGAGGGATCACCTGAGCCCAGGGGCTTAGGGCCAATCTGGGCGGCATAGGGAGATCCTGTCTCTTAAATTAAAGATGAAAAAGAAAAAAAGAAAGAAAAGGACAAAGGAGGAAGAGGAGGCAAAATCCATCTGAGTAAGGGCTTGACTTCTGATCGGTTTCAAAAGGAGGGGGCAGGGTGTAGGCTGGGCTGGGGCTCAGCGGTAGAGCGTCACCTAGGATGACAAAGATAAAAAGTACTGTGTCCATCTACAACTAAAAAATATTTTTTAAAAAAGGACACCGGGCTAGATGGCAAATGATAACAGTGACAGTGGCCATCTGTTCAGGCCCCCAAACTGCTCAGGCTCAGCGTGTTCCCTCCCATTATCTCCTGTGGTCCTTCCAATGAACTGCCCTCAGGGCCACAAGTGACCGCACACACTGGAGCTTAGCCAGGGGTCCACATACCAGCAGGAGAGGACTCAGGACCCCATTTGTCAGATGAGGAAACAGGCTCTACACGGGGAGGCCACCCAGCAGGGGGCGCAGAGGCAGATGGAGACCATAGGCCCCCAGCCTCCTCTGCGATGCCCTCCCTCCCTCTGTTCCACATTGCTGGCCCTCAAGCCTCCTTAACCTCAGTGTCCTCAGCTCTGTGAGACCTGCTGGCCTGTCCCAGAGCCCCCAGGCTTTGGGTCCTGCCTTGAGAGAGGGTCCTGGCCTCTGGGGCCTCCCAGCCCCAGCTGAGCCCTTTCTGCTGTCCTGTAGTGCCCCCCACCTTCTCCACAGAAAATCTTAATTGAGCTTCTCCAGAGACCCCCACCAAAATTTGTTCTCAGGCTCTCAACAAAACTTCTGCAAAAGAATTTCCAGGCAGGCAGGGGTTAAGCCTGCAGACACACAGTGATAAGAAAAACTAACCCCAGGTCTTCACAAGGGCTCCTATCTCAAAGGACCGTGCTCAGGGCCATTTGGATCCAGCTGGTGGGAAGAAAGGGGAGGGGGACCCTCCCTTTCCCAGACACTGATTTTCACAGAGAGTGTCCTTGGCCTGAATTGGGTGCCCACAACAGTAAAAGAATAAAAATAAAAAACTATTTTTGTGGCCTTCCACAGATTGTGAGCCTCTGAGCTCCCCCTCCCCCCATACACTGGGCATAAAGTTCTAAACACTCCTGAACTGGATTCAGGGAGGAATTCTTAGGTGAGAGCCACCTCTGAACCCTGCAGCCCAATAAACCTGCTTCCTGCTATTCCTTGGTGTCCATCCACTTCTGTCCCTACTTCAGTTCTAGGACCGCGTGTGTCTGCGCTGCAAGGGTCACTGTGGCACCTCCTTCAGGTTGAGTTCTGTCTTCAATCGGAATCTTTTTGGGTCATTCATTTAGCAACTATGGATGAGCCAGGTATGTGTCGCATGCCTATAGTCCCAGCTACTCCGGAGGCTGAGGCAGGAGATTCACAAGTTCGAGGCCAGCCTCAGCAACTTAGACTCTGTCTCAAACTGAAAACCAAAGGGCCAGGGATGTGGCTCAGTGGTAGAGCACCCTGGTACCACAAAAAAAAAAAAAAAAAAAGAGCAATATATTTATTAGTGGGCACTCCAACACGCCAGTCGGGGTGGCCTCATTGAGGGGAGACCTGTGCAGACGTGAGGGCTGTGAGGGCCCAGGCCTTCTGGGAAGGCTGGAGCCTCCTATGGGGCAGCCAGAAGCCAGGGCAGGTTTTCAATGGCCCTGTGTTTTCCTTGCTATCCTGACTTTTGTCCCCAACTTTGGGGTGACACTTTATTTGGAAAATCCTCTAACTACAGGAGAAGATTTGTAAACAGGAACTGTTCCGTTAGAGGATTTAACTGTTGTCCCCTGAGTTGACCCAGGTCCCAGGGCAGCCAGAGGCTAGCACCTCATAGTGGCATTTCATTTGCTCCAGAGCCCGGGGGTGTCTGCTGGGGGTGGAGGCCACCGAGACCTAGAGGGCAGGGCATAGTGCCTGCCTGTTTTCATGTGCCCCTCACAGACCCTGCGGAATAGGTCTCCCCAACTTATAGATGAGGAAACCGAGCCTCAGGGTGGGGTCCTAACCAGTCCAAAGCCACACAGCCAAGAGGTTGGAAGGTCTGCATTTGAACCCAGATCTCTCTGCATCATCTGATTTTAGGATCTGTAGTAGGCTTCCACAAGCCTGTGAACCCTCCAAGGCAAAACTAGAGGGTGGGGGTGGGGATTAGCCTTTTATAGGGTAAAGAACTGGCCACCTAGTGTGTGACAGCTGGAACTCTGCCCTGAGTTTGAATCCTGACTCTGCCACCTGTAACTTGTGTGGCCTTAGGCAAGTGCTTGGGCCTCTCTGATGCTGGATTTCCTCCTCCATGAAATTTCTGTCTTCCAGGGCTGTTGTCAGGATGCAAACATAGGAAGCCCTCTGGGTGGTATCTGGCACATGGTAGGTGTTCAATAAATGCAGGTGCTATTATTGTAGGAGTTGATTATGTGTTAATGGAATGACATGCTTTTAGATCAGTGCATCTAGTGCAATCCCATATATTATTTTAAATTCACTTATAAAGGTCCAGAAGAAAATACCCAACCGCAAAGTGGGAACAGTGGTCATCTCTGGGCAGAAGGGTGCTGGTAGCTTAGGATTTTGGTTTGTTGTGTTTTGCTTTGTTTTAATGTCCTAGGGATTGAATGCAGAGGCACTCTATCATTGAGCTACATTTTCAGCCCTTTTTATTTGAACCCAGTCTCCTAAACTGATAGGGCCTCACTAAGTTGCTTAGGCTAACCTCAAATTTACAGTCTTTCTGCCTCAGCCTGCAGAGTGGCTGAGATTACAGGCATGAGCCACTGTGCCCAGCAGTGAGTGTCCACATCATTTTTTCTTTTTAATTTGTTTAATGCTTTTAATTTATATATATATTATATTATATTTATTATATTAATTTATATATATATTATATTATATTATATATATATTATATTATATTATATTTTTTTAGTTGTCAATGGACCTTTATTTTACTTCTTTGTACATGGTGCTGAGAATTGAACCCAGTGCCTTACCATGCTAGGCAAGAACTCTTTCGCTGAGCAACAACCCCAGCCCAGCATCATTTTCTGTATAGAGACATATTTAGAAAAGTTTCTGTATACACTTGATAATCAGAAAAACTTCTTTGCTTGCTTTCCTTTTTTTTTTTTGTACTAGGGATTGAGCCAGGGGGTGCTTCACCATTGTTCTGCACCCTAAGTGAGAAACTGATGTGACTCTGTTTTAGAAAAAACAGCCTCTACCTCAGAGCAGGGCCTGTCCAAAGGGGGGTGACCCTTGTTCTTGGAAAACCCACAGAGTTATTTGTCTGTGAACAACAGGAGAGGTCTGTGGCGCCAGATGTCCCTGACTCCGCAATGCTAGTTCCTGGAAAGACCAAAAAGTGTTTGAGGCCTAAGGCCTGACCTTGATAACCCAAGCAACCCCCAGCAACAACCAATCAGCATGAGACAGGGAAGATATCTGGAAGAGAAGATATCTTATCCGGGGGATCCCCCAGACCCCAGCACCCTCAAACCGGAGAATCTGACACCAATCGGTGAGTCTTGTTTTCTTGTTGTCTGTCCTTGTTCTGACGACGGCCCATAGAGTCTGTATTTTGGGCTGGCAATTGGCCTTGGCAGACGCTCTGGAGGGTTGCCAGCCGGGCCTCTGGGAGACGTCCGAGACCCCCCCCAAAGGATCTTCAGACCCAATCAGAGGAGAATATAGACTCCCCCAATCTGTTTGTCTGATTTTAGGGACAGGCGGGTTGCTGTGGCCAACACCCTACTTTCGTTTTTGTCTTCACTCTGAAAAGGCAATCTGTCGGTCTGTGTTTCTGTTGAGTGTGACGGCACTGTGGCATTGTTTTACGTTGGGCTGACACAGGATGAAATGGGACAGACTCAGACCACCCCCCTTTCTTTGGTAGTGTCTCATTTTGATATGAGATTCAGGAGAGAGGGCAGGATTTCAGTGTTGAGGTAAAGAAAACTTCAGACTCTCTGTACTTCTGAATAGCCTACTTTTGGCGTTGGATGGCCACCCAGTGGCACTTTTGACTCAGAAATTATATTTCTTGTTAAAACCCAAGTTTTTCTCCCAGGCAGCTCCAGATACCAGACCAGGTGCTATACATCCTGTCTGGCAGGACTTGGTCCGAAACCCTCCCTCCTGGCTTGTTCCTTTTTTGCAGAGAAATTCTTCAAAGATCCTGGCGCTTAAGGAAGACACAGGCCGTGGCGGCCAGCGCCCCCAACCTGTCCTCCTGCCCCCGAACCCTTTTACCCAGCTCTGCAGAGCGGCATGGACGAGGAACTCCTGTCTCCGCCACCGTCCCAGCCCCCTCCCACTAACACCCAGTAACAACCTTTTTCCCATTCCTACCCCTGCCCCTGACAGTGGTGTAGGTGCAGTGGACTCACGCTCCGAGCGCCACCAAAAGGCTCCACAGTCTCTCCTCTCGGGGTGGCAGGACCCTGGACGAGGCGGGATTCAGCCCCTTCACTGGCGGCCGTTGGCCACTAGTGATTTGAATAACTGGGGAAAGCAGAATGCTAAGTTCTCGGAAACCCATCAGACCGACCCTCCTGGACAGCGCTGTCTACCCGCAGCCCGCCTGGGACGACCGTGGACAGTGGCTGCGCACCCTCCGCGACCAGGAGAGGGAGCGCAGCCAGACAGACGGAGGGAGGTCGGAGACCCTGGGGATGGCGGCGGCGGCCCGGACCGATCCAGATATAATGAACAGCGCCTTTCCTCTGAGCCGCCCAGACAGGACCATGGGACTGCATACGGCTGAAGGCAGGCACCTTGGAACCTACCCATTTGGCCCGGGTATACAGAGTTCATCAGGGTTAGGAGGAATCTCCAGGCGGCTGTTTAGAGGCTGGAGGCCTTTAGACAGTCCACCCCCAGAAACAGAGGAAAACCGGCGGCAGTAGTGATGCCTTTGTAAAGCAGTGAGCGCCAGACATTAGAAGAAAGTTACAGAAGCTGGACGATTTGGAAGGGGAAACCAGGACTTGCTGGCCACAGCCCAGAAAGTGTACAACAAGCGGGACTGGCCAGAGGACAGACAAGTGAAGGCGACCGGGGAGATGACCAAGTCCTGGTAACAGCAATAAGCGGCAGCGACACCCTCCCCCCACCAGAGGACCGCCAGAGGGTAAGAGGAGCCCTGCGGGAGGAAGGCAGGATCTGCAAAAGAATCAGAGTGTCTATTGCAAGGGAATAGGGCACTGGCTCAAGGACTGTCCCAAGGGGTGGGGTTGTGGCTCAGTGGTAGAACACTTGCCTTGCATGTGTGAGGCACTGGGTTCAATCCTCAGCACCACATAAAAATAAAGGGAAAAAAAAAGGTATTGTGTTATAAAAAAAAAAAAGACTGTCCCAAAAGGTCTAGGGGCCAAGGAGAGGGGAGGCGCCTTTGCCCTATTCTAAGCATGAACAACCCAGATAGTGACTAGGAGAGTTGGGGTTCAGCTCCCCTCCTCGAACCCAGGGTGACTCTTAAGGTGGAGGGGACTCTGATAGACTTTCTGGTTGGTGGACGCTGGAGCTCAGCATTCCGTCCTGTTGAAACTCCAAGGAAAGTTACCAGGAAAGACATCCTGGGTACAGGGAGCTACTGGAATGAGCCAAATTCATGGACTACCCGAGGGACAGTGGACCTAGGCATGGGCGGGGTATCCCACTGGTTCATGGTGATCCCAGAATGCCCCTACCCCTTGTTGGGAATAGACTTACTTACCAAAAAGCCCCATCCAGGTATTAACTCTTGCCCTGGAGGATGAATACTGGCTTCACCAGCAGCTGGTACCCATTAATGAAAACATACATTACTGGCTGCAATCCTACCCTGAAGCTTGGGCAGGGTGGGGGGCTGGCAAAGCACAGGCCTGCAATCTTCATCGAGTTAGAACCTGGCGCAGACCAGTCAGGGTTTGACATTACCCAGTGTCCATGGAAGCCGGAGTGGGGATAACATCCCTCATCCGGTGTCTGTTGGAATTGGGGGTGCTGAAACCCTGGCAGTCGGCCTGGAACACTCCTTTGCTGCCAGTCCACAAGCCCCAGTCAGATGACTGTCAGACAGTACAAGACCTGAAGGAAGTAAACAAGAGGGTGATGGACATCCACCCAACTGTCCCCAACCCATACACCCTCCTGAATGCACTTCCACCAGAACGGCAGTGGTACACTGTCCTGGACTTGAAGGATGCTTTTTTCAGCCTGCCCTGGCACCCAAAAGCCAGAAATTGTTTGCCTTTGAGTGGACAGAGGTTGAGAAAGGCATCAGTGGACAACTAATCTGGACCAGACTCCCCCAAGGATTCAAAGACTCTCCAACCATCTTCGATGAGGCGCTGCATGAGGACTTGGTGAGTTCAGAACAGAACACCCTGACTTAACCCTTTTGCAGTATGTTGATGACTTGCTGATTGCCACCAAGACCAGAGAGGAATGCATGCCGGGACTAAGGCCTTACTCAGAGCCTGGGAGGCGTGGGTTATCCTGCTTCAGCTAAAAAAGGCCCAAATCTGGAAGCCAGAGGTAACTTACCTGGGCTACTTGATAAAGGAAGGACAATAGTGGCTCACGCAAGCTAGAAAAGAGACTGTGCTAAGAATTCCGAGGCCCCAGACCCCGCGTCAGGTGAGGGAATTCCTGGGGTCAGCAGGTTTCTATAGATCGTGGGTCCCTAGCTTTGCTGAGCTTGCAAAGCCCCTCTATGAAGCCACTAAGGAAGGGCAACAGTTTCAGTGGACTGAGAAAATGGATCAGTCTTTTAACCAAATTAAGACTGCCTTGCTGTCAGCCCCTGCCCTTGGACTCCCTGATGTCACTAAGCCCTTTCACCTGTACATTGCGGAGCACAAGGGAGTTGCCAAGGGAGTCCTGACCCAGTATCTGGGCCCATGGAAGAGGCCAGTGGTGTAACTGTCGAAGAGGCTAGATCCTGTGGGGGCCGGATGGCCACCTTGTCTGAGGATGATTGCAGCCACCTCCCTGATGGTGAAAGATGCAGATAAGCTGACATGGGACAAGAACTGTACATCCCCACACCCCACACAGTTCAAGGGGTGCTGAGGCAATCACTGGATCGATGGCTCAGCAACATCAGACTTCCTCCCTTCCAGGGTTTGCTACTTGACCCTTTCAGAATCAATTTCCAGACACCCTCAGCACTCAACCCCTCGACCCTGCTACTGGACCCAGACTTGGAGACACCTCTGCATGATTGCGCAGGAATTTTGGCTCAGGCTCACGGCATTCAGCATTTGAGAGGACCTTAAGGATCAGCCTTTACCTGATGCTGACCTCTTGTTGTCCAGGTGATAAGCCTGGAGCTTATTGACCTCTGTGGTTCACGGATGGAAGCAGCTTTTTCTGAGCTGGTCAGTGCAGCGGTAGTGACTGAGACCCAGGTGATCTGGGCTCAGCCTGTACTAGCTGGGACTTCCACCCAGAGAGCCCAGTTAGTGACACTGACCTAAGCATTAACGCTGGGTAAGGACAAGAAGCTGACTGTGTACACTGACAGTCGCTCTGCATTTGCCACTGCCCACATACATGGAGCCATCTGTAAGGAAAGGGGGATCCTGACCGCAGAAGGGAAGGCTATTAAAAACAAAGAAGAAATATTAGCCCTAATTATTGCCCTGTGGCTGCCAAAGAAATTAGCCATTGTCCACTGTCCAGGGCATCAGAATCTCAAAGACCCTGTAGCCAGAGGTAAAAACCTGGCTGACAAGACGGCCTGGGAAGTTGCCCTTCGCAGGGATCCTGTCTTAGTAACCAACCTTCCAGACCCAGGACCCAGACAGCTACCAGACCTTCCCCAATATACTAAAGAAGACCTGGACTGGATTCATAAATTACCCAAGAATGGTACCGGGTGGCGGAAGACCAAGTCACACTACCTGAAAGAATGGGAGAACAGCTATTGCTAAAAATGCACCAGACCACTCACATGGGCACTAAAAGATGCAAGACCTGGTAAGACACACCAAAATAAAGATTAAAGATGCACATTCTAAGATTGATCAGATTGTAGCTAGTTGCAAAGCCTGCCAGCTGAGAAATGCAACCCAGCCTGAGGTCAACTCAGGATCACGACAGAGAGGTGATGAGCCTGGAGCTTATTGGGAAGTGGATTTCACTGAGGTAAAACCAGGAAAATATGGTTATAAATATCTGTTAGTTTTTATAGATACTTTTTCAGGATGGGTTGAAGCATTTCCCACCAAGCATGAGACAGCACTGATGGTGGCAAAGAAGCTACTAGAAGACATGCTGCCCAGGTATGGCCTCCCAGTAATGAGAGAGTCAGACAATGGACCAGCTTTCATTTCCAAGGTAATTCAGAGCTTGGCTAATGTTTTGGGGACCAATTGGAAACTACATTGTTCATATAGACCCTAAAGTTCAGGACATGTAGAGAGGATGAATAGCCTCTAAAAGAGACCCTAACTAAATTGTCCATGGAGACTGGCAGTGACTGGGTGGCTCTCCTTCCCTATGCCCTGTGTAGAGTGCAGAACTCTCCGTACAAAATAGGACTTCCCCCTTTTGGAATAGCGCCCCCTTTGATTCCCGATTTACAGTCTGACTGACTTGCTGAATTTGAGGATTACCAGCTTTTGCAATCCCTCAGGGCCCTGCAGCAGGCCCACCAAGATGTGTGGCCACAGCTGAAGGCCCTCTATGAGACTGGACCACCTCTGGAACCTCACCGCTTCAGGCCAGGAGCCTGGGTGTTCCTTGAGAATTGATCATGTCTATGGCAGTGCCTAACATTAAGGATTGTCATTTTCTTGATCAAGAACCTAAGAACGGGGGCTGAGGGTGTGGCTCAGCGGTAGAGCACTCGCCTTGTACATGTGAGACCCTGGGTTTGATCCTCAGCACCACATAAAAATATATGAATAAAATAAAGGTATTGTGTCCAACTACAACTAAAAAATAAATATTAAAAAAAAAAGAACCTAAGAACCTATAGAGTGAAATTGTATTGAGTAATTTGAGTGAATAACGCATTGAAAGGGCAGAAGTGTGTGGACATTCTTTATTTCTCCCCTCGACTGCGTATGTTGTAATTTTGCCCCCTCACGACACCTGAAAAGACCAAAGAATGTTTGAGGCCTAAGGCCTGACTGTGAGAACCCAAGCAACCCCCTAGCATCAGCCCATCAGAGTGAGACAGAGAAGATATCTGGAATGCCAGGCGACCCCCAGTGGTCTCAGTGATTGATAACATGTTAGGAAACCGTGTAGCTTAGAATGTACATCTTTGCCACTCCTCACAGCTTAAACCAATCAGTTTAAATGTATCCACCCCTTGTACTAGCCAATCACACTTACCCGACAACTTGTTCCCGCCAATGAGTGTGCTCATCAATGTTAAGAATTGTTTGATTTTCCCGCGGTAGGGAATGATTTGCTGTGTGATATTAGAGTATCTCCAAAAACCTATAAAATCTCACTGAACAAAGGACCAGGACTCACTCCTCAGAACCGCTGCATCAGAAACGGTTGTGAGTCCAGGCTCGAGTTGCAATAAAGACTCTTGTATGCTTGCATCAGATTCAGCCCCTGGAAGTCTTTCAGGGTCCCTAAAATCCAGCATTACACCAGCCCTATTTATTTATTTATTTTGGTACCGGGATTGAACTCAGGGGCACTCGGCCACTGAGCCACATCCCCAACCCTGTTTTGTATTTTATTTAGAGACAGGGTCTCACTGAGTTACTTAGCACCTCACTTTTGCTGAGGCTGGCTTTGAACTTGTGATCCTCCTACCTCAGCCTCCTGAGCCACTGGGATGACAGGCGTGGCCACCATGCCCTGCCCTTTTTATTCTTTTATTTTGAGACCTGGCTAAATTGCTGAAGCTGGCCTCGAACTTGAGAGCCTCCTCCTTCAGTCACTGTACCTGGCCTCTTTTTTCCTAAGAGGAGCTAAGCCCAGAGACAAGGGCTAATGCCTGCCTAAGTCAGAGGCAATGCAGGGACAGAAAGTTAGTGACTGGGCCTCAGGAAAGAGAAAACAAGAGGCAGACCCAGGACAGGCACTGCGGAGGGCCTCAGAGGTTCTTGAGGCGGATCTGGTGTGATGTGGGACAGATGAGGCTGGACCCCCACAGGATAATCAGGAAGCAGGTTTATTTACGCTGCAGCAGTCCACAGGGGATGGTGCCTAAACCTCTGGACCTTGGGTCTGGAAATCCTTTTAAATTTATGCCCAGTGGTGGGGCTTATATTCTAGTGGGTGGTGACATGGCAGGTACCTTTTGTCCCATATTCTTAGGCTACACAGAGGCTTCACAAGTTTTTACCACGAACACAGAATAGTAATTGTGTACAGCAACACGCTCAATGGCAGACCTAGGTTTTACAGGAAAGTGAAGCCTGGCCTAAGCTGCAAACCACTCGGAGCTGTCTGAAAACTCCTGTGAAACCCTGTTGACACTCTTTGTAAAATCTTGCTGATAAGAACCTTAATTGTGTGGAATGTCCCTGCAAAAGCTTAATTAGGACTCTTTTTTTTTAACATCTTTATTTATTTTTATTTTTTTTTAGAGAGAGAATTTTTTAATATTTATTTTTTAGTTTTCGGCGGACACATCATCTTTGTTTGTATGTGGTGCTGAGGATCGAACCTAGCACTCCGCGTATGCCAGGCGAGCACGCTACCGCGTGAGCCACATCCCCAGCCCAGGACTCTTTGATGGAGAAGGGGCTCCTGGTAGCTGCATCAGAAGGCACTAGATTTCCACTGGAAGAAAAAGGTGAATTCAGGGGCTGGGGATATAGCTCAGTGGGTAGAGTGCTTGCCTTACATGCACAAGGCCCTGGGTTCAATCCCAGGTGAAAAACCAGCCTCTACCTCAGAGCAAAGCCTGTCCAAGGAAGGGGGCATGACCCTTGTCCTTGGAAAGACCCACAGAGCACTCCTAGGCACATACCCACCCTGCTGAGTTGTTTGTCTGTAAATAACAGGAGAGGTCTGCGGTGCCAGGTGTCCCTGACTCAGTCAGGCTAGGTGAGGACCCATAGTAACTCCCTAGCAACCACCTCTCAGCATGAGACAGGGAAATACCTGGGACGCCAGATGACCCTCCCAGTAGTTTATGGTGGTTGATAACGTGTTGGGAAACCATGTAGTTCAGCACGTACACCCCTCTTGGCTTAAACCAATCAGTTCAAATGAATCCCCCTCTTGTAGTAACCAATCACCCCTACCCAACTTGTTCCCGCCAGTGAATGTGCTAATCATGTTTTAGAGTTGTTATTTGATTTTCCTGCGGTGTGTGATGATTTGCTAAGAGATGCTATGATGTATGTGAAGTCCCTGCCTTCCCCAAAGAGTGTATAAAACTGCTGCAAACCCTGGGCTTGGGCCTCTCAGCGTCACCAGTTGCTGTGTGCACACGCGGAGGACCGAGCTAGCTCGCAATAAACACCTCTTTGCTGCTTACATCGATCTTGGTCTCTGGTGGTCTTTTGGGGGTCCCGAATTCGAGCATAACGCCTGCCTTGGTTCTGGACCTGGTCACTGCCGTCTGAATGAGTATGTGCATCTATCTGCTGGATGTAAAGCCACCTGCCCAGTGAGGTGGGGATGAAGGCCCTTGGTCCCTCCCACTGGCCCTGCATCTCAGGGAAGGGGCTGGGGTCAGGGTGCCGTCTGAGCCCAGGATGAGGCCCTGACCACACCTTTGTTGGTATTTGAATCTCTCTTGGCAAACTGCCCAGGATCCAGCTCCAGACACCGGCCATTGTGTTAAGTCTCTTCTGTGAGGCAGCCTGGGCCTCGCCCATGTCCTCTTCCCTCTGGCTGTGCCAGGCCTCATTGGCTCCTGGATTTCCTGGATTTGAGGTGAGAGCACAGAGCGCGGAGGGACTTCCAGGAACCCACACCAGCAGAAGCTCCTGGGAGCTCAGCAACCTGGACTCCAGATGTGCGTGGGTTCCACCAGGTGGCGCTGAGGTGCACCGTGATGACTGGAGGCTCTAGGGAGAGGAGCCACAGGGACCCCAGGGACCGGCCTGTGGCAGCAGCGCACAGTCAGGCTGCCGGGTCAAATACTGCCTCCTCCACTGGCAGGTGCACACGTTTTACCATTTTTTTTAAGATGGAATAAAACATTTAATAATAATTGAGTGTAGTCGGGCGCGATGGTGCACGCCTGTCATCCCAGTGGCTCAGGAGACTGAGGCAGGAGGATCACAAGTTCAAAGCCAGCCTCAGCAAAAGTGAGGCTCTAAACAACTCAATGAGACCCTGTCTCTAAATAAAATACAAAATAGGGCTGGGGATGTGGCTCAGGAGTCGAGTGTCCCTGTATTCAACCCCAGGACCCCCCACCCAAAATAATAATTGAGTATAAAATTTGGCATAAATAGGTGAGAAGAATGAAATTCTAATTTGGGGATAGTAGGAATCCAATCCTGGGCTTCACACATGCTGAATGTTTTCGATGTGATTTCTCTTAAACGATAACAAATGCCAGTCTTCAGGACACCCCGGGCAGATGGGGTGTGATGGCCTCGTCTGCCCAGCTGGAGTTTGGGCCACGCAGAGGTCTGGCGTTCCGTGGGCAGAGCAGCTCCCCTCTGCTCGCCCTCCTCACAGGCTCTCAGCGTGGCTGAGACGTTGACATCAGGGACCAGACAATTCCTTGTTTGGGGACCCTGTCCTTCGCCCGGTAGGATGGTCTCTCCTGGCCTGTACCTGTCACGTGTCAGTGGACTCTCCCCAAGCTGTGACCAGCAGAAAGTGTCTCCAGACCCTGCCTGAGGCAGAACCACCTGGTTGAGAATCCCTGTCCTCCACCAGGTGGGAGGCCCCTCAGGCTGCCGCTTAGTGCCAAGGAGGACCCCTTGCTTTGGACAGCAAAAGTGACCCCTCTGCATGCGGACACAAACAGGTAGAACTGCGGCCCTGGGGACACGGCACACACCAGCCCATTCACCTGGAACTAGAGATGTGAATCAGGTTCTCACGCAAGGGCTCATGGGACTAAACCTGGGTGCACATGGGAGAAACGCCCTGCTGAGCCCAGGCCAGGAACTTGGTCCCAGCGAGGACCACGCCTCTGCCCCTGGGGTCCTTCCCAGGACCTCCTGGCTGAGCCTCTTTCCCCCCCTCAGGCCCTGCGGTTTCTCCAGAAGAATTCCTCCAGGTACCACTTCAGACGCACCAAGATGCTGCCTGTGAGCAGCGGCTTCCACACCCGCCTCATGGGGCCCGCTGTGCAGCCCCTGGCACAGGTTTTAAAGACAGTGGCCATCAGGAAGCCGCTGGTGGCCGTCTACTCTAACGTCAGCAGGAGCAGGTACCTCCACCCCACGCACATCCGGCAGCTGCTGGGGCAGCAGGTGGTGTCCCCAGTGAAGTGGGAGCAGACCATGCACGCCATATACGAGAGGAGGAGGGGCACCGAGTTCCCCAGCACGTGGGAAGTGGGCCCTGGCCAGCAGCTGGGGAGCATCCTGAGGAGCTGTAACCTGAAGGCCTGGAAGGGCTACAGCCACGTGGACGTGCTGCGGGCCAGCGAGGACCTGGACGCGGACCTGGACCCCAGCGAGTCTCCCCGGTGACTGCTAGGGGCTCGAGACCCTGGGCAGAGCCGGTGAGCTGGGCCGGCCCTCCCCGCCGCCGGCTGCCCCGGGATGGAGAGGGAAGGTGGGCCCGTGTCCAGGGCCATGTGAGGAGCACTGAGAGGGGGGGTTCTTTCCATGATGCACCCCACTCCTCCTCCTCGTGAAGACCAAGGCCACCTGGGCACTGGGTACCTGCAGAGCTGGATGCCTGCCGCCCCTTCAGCCAGGCAGGGTTTGCCCCTGCCCTGTGGATGCTGAGGACACGCCAGCATGGCTTCAGCCAGGCCGGAGCCAGAGGGGCCCTGCACTGCCCTGCAGCCTGCCAGTCACCCGGGGCCAAACTCCTGGCTCCTTTGTCCCTGAATCTAACAGGCTTAGGATCTAAGTGACCTTGGCAGCCACACTTCCCACCCCTCACTCAACTGCATTCCTATAGCCAGGGAGCACATGTTAAGTCCTGCCATGTGCCAGAGAGCAGGTGGCCTGGGCCCTGGCAGAGCTCCCTGAGCAAGCTGGGCACTGTGGTGAGCTGAGGCAGGGAGGACAGCTGGGCCCTGACCCCCCCAGCGAGCCCCAACCTCTTTATGAAGTGCCATCCATGGTCACACTGGTCACTGTCTGTGGCCCCAGGAGCCGAGCAAGACTCTCTGATGTCCAGCTGTGCAAGCTGACATTAAATACCAGCCACTCTGAGCTCTGCACCTCGTGTTTCCATCTCTCAGTGACAGGGGGACATCTCAGTGGGAATGAAGTCCCTGGATTGTCTTAAAACAGGACTGTTACTTAGGCACAAGTCACACCCTGGATGGGGGCTTCTCATTTTCAATTCTATAGTGTTTCTGCCCAGGACCCTGTTGGCCTCTGGGCAGAAACCGTCCATGTATGGGCCAGTCCCCCTCTGTCCTGGCTCCAGGCCACTCCATGCCTGAGCAGTGCTTCCAGGCATCATGACCTCAGAATGCCCCCCAGGTTTCCCTGCAGCCCTGGCTGAGGACCACTGCGGAGTCCCCCCAGAACTCAGTTCTCATCTCGGCCTCCTCTGAGTATCATCCAGGGCATGGAGCCCTTTAGAAAGGACTTTTTATTTCCTCCCTTTTGTTTGAAGTCGGGGTCTGGCTGAGTGCAGTGGCACTGCCTGTATTCTCCACAGGGAGTCAGGGTCACCTTAACCCTCTGTGGGCACATGATGGGCCCCTCATGCCTCCTTGGTCTGAGGGAAGTCCCTCCACTGTCCCCAGACAGCCTGCACCCCAGCAGGCCCAGTGGCCGTCCCCAGGGCCAGGTCCATTCCACCACCTTGGCTGGCCTAGGGCCTGCTCCGGGCTCTGCTATGTGGAGGGCTTCAGGAATCGAGGCACTAGGTGACCAGTGGATTTTCTGAGCCATTGTTCACCAAGACCCGCCTCCACACAGGGCTGGGCTCTGTGTGGAGGTGGGTCAAGTGTGGAGGGAATGTGCAGTGTCCCAAGGCTTGGGGACGGTGAAGACTGCTGGGCCCTGCTGCAGCCAGGGATGGGTGGAAGCAGCCTGAAGCCAGATGTGCAGGCTGCAGCTGGCCTGTGAAGGGAGCAGCCTCGCAGGCAGCCTCCTGGGCTCTGCCTCTTGCCCTCTGGTGGGTGCACTGCCTGGCATGAGCACCAAGGTGTCAGCCCAGGGTCACAGCTGCGTTGGTGAAGAGAGGCTGCAGCCACCTGCCTGTGTCAGAGGCTCAGCCAGGTCCCTGTCCTCGGATGGTCTGTGGGAGATGCTGTGGTATGAACCTGGCCCAAGAGATCAGCTACCCCAGGTCCCTACCACCCTGGAGAAGTCATGGCCACACTGAGAAGGATGGACCCTACAGCGGGTCTCCTCCATCAGTCACCCTGTGCCACCGTCTCTCCAGCGCCAGCTCTTCCACTGGAGGCCTTCCCTTCATGGTCCCACTCATCCCTGCAGGCATCTCCCTTGTCTCCTTCATGTCCCTGAAGCCTTTAGTGGCTTTTTTTTTTTTTTTGTAGTTGTAGATGCACAGAATGTCTTTCTTTCTTTCTTTCTTTATTTAAGAGAGAGTGAGAGAGGGAGAGAGAGAAAGAGAGAGAATTTTAATATTTATTTTTTAGTTTTCGGCGGATACAACATCTTTGTTTGTATGTGGTGCTGAGGATCGAACCCGGGCCGCACGCATGCCAGGCGAGCGCACTACCGCTCGAGCCACATCTCCAGCCCTCTTTATTTATTTGTATGTGGTGCTGAGAATGGAACCCAGTGCCTCACGTGTGCTAGGCAAGCGCTCCGCCCCTGAGCCACAGCCATAGTCCCCTTTGTGGCTTATTTACATGTACATTTTATTTAGATCTGAAGCAGGTCACTGTGTGCACCACACCCCCCCAGAACCTGTGAGGGCCTGGCACAACAGCACCCCAGCGTGGAACCGCCTGCAAATCCCTCGGGCAAGGTCAGTGTCCCCAATTCCTGCACAGAGAAGCAGCCAGGGCCACCGCCTTCAGCAAAAGCAGCTTCCAGTCTCCTTGGAAGAGCTCCTGGCTCCTCAGGGAAATGGCGCAGGCGCCCCAGCCAAGTCCCTCAAGTTCAGGAGGAAGCCAGTGCGGGGCGGTGGTCGGGGGCTGGCCTTCCATGGCCTAGCCATGTGGACTCCAGCGGGTTCCCATTCCCTGGGTGTCCACATCCACACTGGGCGAGTCCCGGGCGCACTGCCAAGTGTCTACCCTTGTGGGGACAGGCGTGCCCTGGCTGGAACTGGAGGCAGATGCTGCGGTGCAGGTGCAGGGATCTGGGGAACAGGGCTCATCTGGGGAAGTTCTGAGGCTCTGCAGAGGAGGCTCCATACAGCAGGTGGGGGTTGGTGGGGCCGTCAGGGGCTTCTGCTGGATGGGCTTGCAGGGGTGTGCAGGGAGGCACTCCAGGCCTGGGCAGGAGGGGACAGAAGGGGCCTGGAGCGGAGGAGGGTGTCTGGGAGCACTGCTGGAGAGCAGGGCCCTGGAGGGCCGCGGTCTGGCTCAGTGCAGCCTGGGAATGTTAGTGGGAGGGGACCCTGGTAGAGCCTGGACCAGGGACTATGGCAGGTTCCTAGTCCAAATAGTGGGAAGCCGCCCCCAACCCTTGGCCCAGGCCCTACTTGCCCACAGAGCCCTGCTGGCTGCAGCACCCCCAGGAAGTGGACATGGGTGAAGAGATGACCGACATCCCCACTGTGAGACCTGGAGAGCCCCCAGAATGATCCCAACTGTGCATCTCAGGCACCACTAGGGAGGCGGACAAATTCTGAGCACCTGAGACAGCAGTGGGGTCCTCAGGTACATGGAGGAGGCAAGGGTAAGGCCACCCCTCCTCCTGCCACCAAGCTCAGCCTCCAGGGAAAGAGGGGCCCATGATGCTGCCACAGAGCCCCAGACAGGACCAGAAAGACCAGAAACTGGCTGGAAACCAACGTTTTATTGAACTATGTCTCCTCTACCCTTCAGAAATCCAGGCCAATAGATTCCGCTTGGTCATCACAGACAGGGGTGTGACCAGCACTCCCCCCGCTGCCTACCATACACCAGCCTGCATGAGAGGAAGGCTTCCTCAGGGACAGGCTGCCCCCTGAGAGGGCCAGGGTCAGGAGGAGAGCAGGCCAGCCAGGCCTCCAAATGGGCAGTTAACTGGTAACCACCCCAGAGGTCTGGTAAGTTCATTTCTTACAAAAACAATAGAAACTCCAGTACAAAACCTCAGCAGTGTCCCAGCACTATCTTGAGTTTAAATATAAAAAAGGAAATCTCATCAGGAAACACCACTGTCCAAAGGACAGAACCCCCAGGAGCCGGCCACCTCCAGGATGGGTTCAAAGGGCGAGGGCCAGCCCCGCCCCGCGCAGGCCTCACTGGAGCCGCAGGTACAGGGCCCTGCTCAGCAACAGGCCCAGCAGCAGCAGCACGGGCAGCAGCTCCCGGCAGGCCCGGGCAGGAGGCACCTGGGGACCGAGAGAGGACAGTGAGGGCCCAAGAAGGTAGGGGACCTCACCTCAGAAACGGGGCGGCTAGGACAGGGTGAGATCAGACAGGGCAGGCGTTCAGCAGGGACAGGGGAGCAAGGAAGTGGCCCTGAGTGGGGGCAGAGATGGGGCAGCATCTGCCAGAGGACAGCTCTCCTGGCAGAGGGGCAGGAGCACAGTCCTGTCAGCTAGGCCCAAGGTTCCTGGGGCTGCTGGGCCCGGGGAGGTGTGGAAACAGGTGAAACCTAAGGCCACAGGGAGGGGGCGCCTGCAGCACACCAGGGGTGCGTCCAGGGGGCTCCAGGCCACTCCCACGGGCAGGGGGCCAGCTGCGCCTGCAGCCTCTTGGCTCTTACCCGGGTGCTGGGGGCCGCGGGTCTCCAGAACCACATGTTCTCCCTGAGGCTGGCGAGACCCTGGGTCAAGCTTCTGAGCACACCCGTGACTCTCGCCTGGCTGTAGCTGAGGGCAAGGCTGTAAGACACGGGGAGTGGAGCAGGCTTCAGGGACTCCGCCCCTGTGGAGGGCCTGTCCCCTCCCCACCCCACGGACACCCGGACTTCCCCTGGCACCCCTATGAAGGACAGTGTCCGTCTCCCCACAGCCATTTCTGGTTCATAGGTTTGTTCAGATCTCCTAGTTCCTCCCACCTTCCGGCCAGTGCTCTGCTCAGCTGGCCGCAGGGAACCCAAACCTGGGCCCTGCAGGCCCTCGGCCAGTTACTGCCCCACTTGTCCTCCCCAGGGAGCCGGCCGAGGAGCCAGGCCTGGGCGCACACGCAGCCTGCCCTGCCCTGCAACTCAGGACTCTGGATGAAGACCAGCGGGGGGCGGGGTTCTGCGTGGTGCTCTGCCAGGCCGGGAGAGGCAGGGGCAGGTCAGAGAGAGCTGGGAGCCCCTGGGCAGGCGGGAAAGCAGAGGGTTTGGGGTCTACTTGGGAGGTGTCAAGGCCATTTCCTTCCAGAACTTGGGGTCCAGCCGTGTGTAGGGTTCTGGGCCTCTACCTGCCGGTCCAGGGTCCCTCCCCAGGTGAAGTCCTGGGCAAGACATGGGCTGCTTACCTGTGCATGGCCATCCCAGGGAGCTGGGCCAGTTGGAGGCCCCGAAAACACAGATCCATCTCATCCCCAATGCAGGCCAGTCGTAGGGCCACCTGGTTACTGTGGAGAGGGAACAGGTGGGCAGGGTGTGGTACTGGAGTAGCCCAGAGCCAGGCAAGAGCAGGGGTCAGATTTGGGACCAGCAGCAAACTTTCCTGCGTCCCTCCATCTACAGGCAGACTCTGAAGTCACACGGTTTTAAAATCCACCTCCAGGGGTGGGTGGCCAGTGTCAGTAAGTGGGGTGCCCAGGGGGGCCTGCTCCCGCCCTCCAACCCTGTGCCGTCTGCAGGAAACCTCCGGCACCCAAGAAAGCTGAACACTCAGAATGTCAGTACCCACCCTGAGTGTTCCCGGAAAGCCCCAGCAGGGCGCAGCTCATGGGCTTTGGTGAGTAACAGTGGCCAGCATGGGTGGACAGGTTTGGGGGTGCCTTGAGACCCCCTCAATTGCTAAGGCTGGCTTCCCACAGGGTCTTTAACTTACCTTCCTCCTTTGACTAGGGGCTCAGAGACCTCTCCCCTGGTCCCCAATGCTGAAACCACCCCTATACCATTGTCCCTTTCAAAATGAAGGAGCCCCTGCCTGGGCCCTCCATGTGCACAGCTCAGACTAAAAACCAGTCCCCTTCCGGGTGCACCCTTCTCCCCAGGCTTGGCCCACATCCCACCCTGGTGACTCGGGAGCTCTGCCTGGAAGTCCCAGGCAGATCCCCCTAACCCTGGCCACCTGCACCACCTGATGACCTGTCTATTCTCCTGGAGGGCGAGCTCCCACTTCTGTCCTGCCAACGTGATGCATCTGAGTAGCAGGATCCCTAAGTTCAGGATCTTGATGACTAATAAGAACCTTGGAGCAAGAGGAAACACCCAGAACCCTGGAGCTGAACTCCTGCCTGTGCGCTGGCAGTGGCTGTCCTCCAGCTTGCGGGAGGTGACTGAGGGCTGAGCCTCAGTGCCGCATCAGTTCCCGGGAGGTAAGGCTGCAGCGCCCCCTGCTGGGGGAGCCCATGAGCCTGGCAGATGCGGACGCTGGACCCAACTGGGCTGGCAAGGCTGGTCCTGAGACCCTGGGGGCCGTGTCAGTCCCAGGAGTGCCCCTCTTCCAGCCTCAGTGGTTCCTTAACAAATCACTGCCCTAATTGCCAGGGCTGGGGGCCGCTCGGCTGGGGCACCTTGGGGTGGCTGGCAGGTCCAGCAGGCCTCCTGGCCAGCTCCCTAAGACGAAACGCTTGAGCTCTCTCGTGGCCAGCGCCACAGTCCACCGTGGGACCTGGAACATGCTGGGTGCCACAGGGTCCTTCTGTGGGTGGGGATGAGCCCAGGGGACCTCAGTGGCGGCGGGGTGCGGAGGCATCACTCACTACCTAGGGAGCGTCCTCTCTGGAGCCTGCCTGGAGGCCCTCTGCAGAGGGTCCCTGCTCTTCCAACCCATCCCCAAAGGTCACCGACCAGTGGGCCCTTGGGACCTACCTGCCCTGAACCATGAGGTGCAGGTTTCCCCCGAGACGGAGGACCTCCTCTCCCATGGGAGGGGTCATGCAGGAAGCACCTGCAGCCAGCAGGGGTCCGGGTCTGTAACGGAGGAGGCTCCTGGAGATGGGTCTTGCCTCTGACATCTCTTCTCTGGGGAAGGAGACAGAGTGTCACTGACCCCTAGAACTGCCAGGGCTCAGAGCCCCAGGTCCCAAGGCAGGCACTCTGGCCTACTGAGTGCTTTGAGCCCCAGGCCTGGAGCCTCGCGGGAGCGGCGGAGGCCTAGTATCTGGCCTCCTGCCTCCTCCTGCCCCCTAGAGAGCCACAGGAACTTGAGTTCCTTTTCCAAAGCGGGTCATGGAAATCAGACCACCCTCCCCCAAAGCAGCCCTAAGACCTGGGAAGGTCGCTCTGTCCCCTGAAGACCTTATGTCTGCTAGGAAGGACTGCCACGCAGAGCCCCTAGGTCTCCTGGATCGGCTGCCATGAGAGCACAGAGACTGGACCCTGTGTCCACCCCTGCTCTGCCCGGCTGTCCACCACAGGCCCACACGTAAACATGGAGTTTCCTGTGGGTTCCTGGCTTTGACTTTCGCTTTGGGTGCTGGGGGTTGGGCCTAGGCACAGGCATGTCAGGTAAGTGCCCCGGAGCTGCAGTGCCAGCCCTCCCTGGGGCTTGGGTCTTCATGTCTGAAGGTCCTTTGTCATTTGTCTCAACCTTGATTAGACGGATACACGCTGTCCTCCTGCTGACCGGACTTCTGTTAGGAGGGCGCAGGCTGTGGTCCTCACGACAGGGGAGGAAAAGGGTCCTGCCTTTCTGCCCCTGCTGGACTCCCTCCCAGGCCTCCTCCCCCTACCCTTCTGATCTGCTAAGGTCACCATCAGCCTCCCCCAGCAGCTCCCACAGCTGGAAAACCCAGGCACCTGCTGTCACTCTGTTGGGATGGACACCTATTTTTTGAAGTCTGCTGTTTCTCTGAGCAATAAAAGCAAATGAACGAGGAGTAGATGACACTCCCACCTCGCAGGGACCCTGCCCCGGCTTCTGGGCCTTTTCTTCCACTACTGGGTCCTCTGAGTTTCTCAGTGCCTCGTCTTTGCTGAGGCTGATATTGAACTCGTGATCCTCCTGCCTCAGCCTCCTGAGCCGCTGGGATGACAGGCGTGTACCACGGCGCACAGCTCCAGGCCTTCTCTAAACCATCCTCACATGCAGTTTCACAACCTCCTCCCAGCTCCCCTGGCGGGGCTGCTCTTCAGCCCTTGGCCTGCTCAAGCACTCCCACTCCCAACCTATGGTCCTCAAGCACCCTTCACTGTAAGCATGGTTGAATCCATTAACAACTTGAACATGACGCCAGCAGATTGGGCTAATATGTGTAAAGCTGTGCTAAATGGAGGACAATACCTGTTATGGAAGGTTGCCAATGAGGAATTTTGCAAGGAGACGGCTAGGCGAAATGCAGCAGCTGGTTATCCTCAGAGAAATCTAGATATGTTGTTAGGAAAGGGACCTTATGAGGATCAGCAGCAACAAATTGCATATGATCCTAGTGTATATGCACAAATTGCTGTAGATGCAATTAAGGCATGGAAGACTTTACAAGGACATGGAGGTTTACAAGGTCAATTATCTAAGGTAATACAAGGAGCTAATGAATCTTATGCTGAATTTGTAGATAGGCTTATTCAAACAGCTACCAGAGCTTTTGGGAATACAGAACAAGCAATGCCATTACTAAAACACCTGGCTTATGAGCAAGCGAATCGTTGGTGCAGAGATATCATTAGACCATGGAAACATGAAGATTTAAACACATATATTAAATTATGTAGAGACATTAATGAACAAGAGCAAGTCGTGGCAGCTGCAGTAAAACAGGCTTTAGATGCCAGAGACATTAATGAACAAGGGCAAATTGTGGCAGCTGCAGTAAAACAGGCTTTAGATGCCAGGCCAAGAACATGCTACAATTGTGAACAAACAGGACATTTTAAAAGGAATTGCCCCATTGGAGGAGGGTTTAACAAAACTAGGTATCAAAGGAGTAGAATACCAGGTATTTGCCCACAATGCCGTAGAGGGAGACATTGGGCTAATGAATGCCGTTCTCAAACCACCATAGAGGGTACTCCATTATCAAAAAACGAACAAGGACCAGGTGTTTACCCACGATATCGTGGAGAAAGGCATCAGGCTCCATTGCCAAAAAATGGACAGGGGGGCCCAATGCTCCGGGGCCCAAAACCACAAATATACGGAGCACTGGAAGAACCCAGCAACCCCATCAGGGTAGTGCCCAGGACACATTGTCCATCAGATCCCTCATCAGACAAACCAGAGGGAGCGCAGGGTTGGACATCTGCACCTCCGCCAGAGCAGTAGTTACCCCTGATCAAACTTTTACATTTTTAGTACCCAAACAATCAGCTCAAAAGGTAGAGCTTAATGCAGTTTTACAAGCTTTTGTGATGTTTAAAGATTCTGTATTTAATTTATTTTCTGATAGTCAGTATGTAGTTAATGCTATAGTATCTCTTGAAGATGCTGGTAGGATTTCCCCTTCTTCTACTGTTTTCTCTTTGCTTTCCACTATACAAAGTCTAATCTGGGACAGAAAAGATCCATTCTTTATAGGACATATCAGGGCACATACAGGATTGCCTGGAGCCCTTAGTTTGGGCAATGATTTAGCAGATAAAACTACACATGACATACATATTTTCTCTACACTAGAAGAAGCTATAAATTTTCATAAAAAGTTCCATGTCAATGCTAATACTTTACAAAAGCGTTTTAAAATAACTAAGGAACAAGCTAGACAAATAATAAAACAATGTCAAAATTGTGTGACCTTTTTACCACAAGTTAATCTTGGAGTCAATCCTAGAGGATTGATACCTAACCATATTTGGCAGATGGACGTCACACACTTGCCAGAATTTGGAAAATTAAAATATTTGCATGTTACAGTTGATACTTCTTCTGGATTTTTGATGGGCTCCCTTCATGCCGGAGAAAAAACTAAAGATGTTATAGCTCATTGCTTACAAAATTTTGCCACTGTGGGTGTTCCAAAACAGTTAAAAACAGATAATGCCCCTGGTTATACTTCTACCTCTTTTAAACAATTTTGCTCAACATTTGGCATTACTCATATAACAGGAATCCCATACAATCCACAGGGACAAGGCATAGTTGAAAGAGCTCATCAAACTATTAAAATGTACTTATTAAAGCAAAAAGAAGGAATTGGGAAGGGGTATATATTCCCCAAAGATAAACTTAAAATAACCCTTTTTACTCTAAACTTTTTAAATTTGGATTCATCAGGACTTAGTGCTGCGGAAAGGCATATGTGTCCAAAAAATGTGCATAAGCCCAAGGTACTTTGGAAGGATATTCTAACAGGACAATGGAAAGGTCCTGACCCAGTAATTGTCTGGAGTCGGGGGTCTGTTTGTGTGTTTCCACAGGGAGAACAGCAGCCGATTTGGATTCCAGAAAGATTAACTAAAGCGATTTCTACAGACCAAAAAGAAGATGATTTGGCTCAAATCCATAACAACTGATATCCAAAACTGCAGTTTGGCTATTCTTACATCTGCAACAGAACCAGGATGCTTTTTTCAATATCTATTTTATTATTGCCCTTTGCCATATCATGAAGTTCTATTTTGTTTTTTGAGCTCATACAGACCTAGGTTAATGTTTTGCTGATCAGTTCTATTTTTTGACTATAGAGTTTTTAAACATTGCAATGGAGATTTCACCTGTAAAAAGTTATAAGGCCTTTACTATAATGTTATGTGTTGTATGTATTATATTATGTGTGCACACTTGTGTTTTGTGTTATATGTTTGAATGTACGTATGTCCATATATCATATATGATGAGCGCTCATGATAAAATGGATCCAAATATTTTTTTTTCACGTGATTTATATGGTTTAATTTAAATTGGGTAAACAACTGTTGAGGATTGTTTTACTATGTAAACAAAAAAGAAGGTTAACAGATCTGTTTGTTTACTTTCACCTTTCCTTTTCATTATATTTAATAATTCTCTTAAAGATAATGTAAATTGTTAAGAAAATTGTTTTCTTTTAGTGCCTTCTGTAATGTTACATAATTTTTTCTTTAGCCATTATTGCCAGAATTCCTATCTTCATCCCAGTGCTGGTGAAGTCAAAGATAAAACCAATCTACAGCTTCTACAATAGCCATCACTGAACTGCTTGCAGAACTTGCCTGGACACATTGTGAGCTCACCTGTATGCATTGTGAACTATCTGTTGGTGCAGCGACTTGTGGTAGTGTTGGGGTATTTTTGCTGATGATGTCATTGGTGGTACAATTTTTCCAAAAGGAGCCGTCAATTGGCTTGGTGTATCTTCCTCCCTTCTGCTTGTCATGATAGTCCAGCTAAAATTTGGGGGCCAACAGAGGTGAGGCAAAGAACCTCACCCCCCCGCTGGTACAAAGACCTCTCCACAGGTGTGGCTGTATACTGGACCGGTAGTCAGTGACGGGTAAGATCCAATTGCAATGGTACCAACCTAAGGACCATATGTACTATTGGACAACCTAAGGCAGGCACGGTCCCTAAGCCACATGCTTGTTGTTTAAACAGAGAGGGGGAGATGTTGAGAGCCACAGCCAAAGGGGCCCCAGCAAACTTCCAGCTGCCAGCAAACTTCCAGCTGCCGGCTGATGATTGGCTCACAGCGGCCCCAGCAACATCTAGCTGATTGGCTCCTCGGCCCCAGCAACATCTAGCTGATTGGCTCCTCCGCGGTGATGCTCATTGGGCTGTTTCCCTGCCCTTTCAGACCACTGAGCTACTCATTGGGGGACTTTTTTGGCTCCGCCCACGTGACCCAGCCAATCGGCCTCCAGAGCAGGAGGATTGTGGGAGGTGGAGAGAAGCTTGTGTGGGAGAGAGAGGCTTGTGGAAAGCCGGTGGTGGCAGTTGAGGCTCTGAGGGTTTTTCCTGAGAGGCTGTTTTGTTTGGCGTGTGTGGTTCTAAAAATAAAGTTAGTTTCTTTTGACAAGTGGCTCCTGATTGTGCCCAGCCAGACTGCGGCACCTGCACACGCACTCCCCCAGGCCACCACAACCCTGCAGGGCCTCCCTCTGCAGCATCCGTCCCTTGTAGCCAGTGCTGGCCCCGTGACCCAGCCTGGCCACTGAGAAGTGGGAGGTAGGGCTTGAAAGAAAGGGAGCAGACCCAGCCAGGGCAGCTCCGGGCTCTGCTGCTTGAACATAGGAGCGAGGGCTGGCGCTGCAGCAGCCAGCCCAGGAGAGCGGAACAGGAGGTAGAGAAAGCAGAGCCTACGGCCTCGTGGAGCAGCTGCAAGAGTGACAGTCACTGTCAGCCCCTCTGTGCCCAAGACAAAAATTGCAGTACTGGGTGGGGTGCTTGAGTGGCGCTCCCTGGGCTGTTGGGAGGAGGGGGTAAAGGAATCCCTTTCAAGCACTCTGAGGAGCTGGTACCCCCCATGACCTTCCTGCAGATCAAACTTTATCCAAAATGCGCAGGGCCAAAATGTTTCAGATTTGGGATTTTTTTTTTCTTTCAGATTTGGAATATTTGCATATATGTAATGAGGTATCTTGGAGCTAGCACCCAAGGCAAATCAAGAAATTGGTTCATTTCTCATGTATACCTTATGCACATAGGCTGAAGTTAATTTTACACAAAATGTTGTTCATGGGGCAAAGCTTGTGTGTGCCGACTTGTGGAGTCACACTGATGCCCAAGGGTTGAGTTTTGGAGCATTCTGGATTTCAAATTCTCAGACTGCAGATGCTCATCCTGTTATTTTCTTACAATAACAAAAATAATAAATTAATTCCTCACATCTGCTGGCCCTAGAGAGCTCACAGAGCACCTTCCCACTCTCTCCTTTGATTTTTTGGTTCAAAGAAGAACCGGAGATTGGAAAAGTTCATGACTCAGAGCAGGGTGTGGTGGTGCACACCTTTAACCCCAGAAATTTGGGAGGCTGAGGCAGGAGGATCACAAGTTTGAGGCCAGCCTCAGCAATTTAGCAAGATCATCTCAAAATAAGAAAGGGCTGAGGATGTAACTCAAGAACAGAGCACCCTGGGTTCAATCCCCAGTAAGACACACACACACACACACACACACATATACACACACATACACCACATACATATACCACATACACACACACATATATACACACACATACACCACATACACACACACACACACAGAGTTCATGACTCAGCTAAGAAGGCATAGAGCTCTAGTCTCCTGCCCCCTATGCCAGATAGATTGATGTTCCTCAGACTGCAGACTCCATGCACAGGGCAACTGGACCCCTGGACCCCTGGGGATGCCTGAGGCCAAACACAAAGAGTGCTCCCTCCTTGCTCTGGGCGACATGGGGAAGGGAGAAGCTGGAACAGCAGCACTCACTGGGCAGGGGTCAGAGCAGAGCCCTACGTTTGGGACCCTCTGGGTGTCTCAGGACTGATCTAGACAGCGAATCTCAACAGGCACCCAACACAAGCAGCCCAGGAGAGGGGAGCACGTGGTGACATCAGCGCCACGGACAGGCCCAGGGTGTGGCGTGTCTTAGGCCTTGAGGACTGGAGAAACACAACGGTCCCCCTCCACCCCCCGGCCGGGGTGGGGGTGCACACCAGTCAGCCAGGCTGCTCAGGAGGCCGGGGCAGGAGGATCACAAGTGCAAAGCCAGCCTCAGCAACTCAGCGAGGCCCTAAGCAACTTAGGGAGACCCTGTCTCAAAACAAAAAGATGAAAAGGGGCTGGGGATGTGGCTCAGTGGTTAAACACCCCCCGGGTTTAATCCCTGGTACCAAAAAAAAAAAAAAAAAACAGAGCAGAAATGCCCAGAATTTCTGTCAATAGAGACGGTGTTTCAGTTTCCCAAGAGGAAGACGGAGAGGAGCTTTCCACCTGACCCAGAGGGAGTCTGACATGCAGCAGGGGCCGGCTGGAGGCGACAGGCGCACGGCACACAGCTGCACAAAGGGCCCCGCATTGGCACCTGCACCTGTCAGGCAACACCTTCGCCTGCGGCCGAGGTCAGGTCTGCCAGGTCCCTCAGCGCCAGGGCAGGGCCACACCTGCGGAGCACACCTGCAGGCAAGGTGTTGACAGTCACTGGGTTGGAGCAGCCCCCAGACCCTCGGGCAGGAGCTGGGAGGGTCCCCAGTGGCTTCTGTGTGCCCAACACAGGCTCTGTCCCAGGTGCACACCGCTAGAGCTCGGCCAGTCGAAACCAGCGAGGGACGCGGAGACCATCTGCAGGGCAAAGATGTCCAACAGTGCTCTAGAAAGTGCTTGGGGGGACAAAGCGGCCGAGGCTTGAAGCCACTCTCGGTGACCAGATGGCCAGAGACGACCTTCACCACTGTTTCATTCAGATCTTGCACCTCTCCTCTGCACAGGATGTGGCAAAACCCCTTTCCCAGGCCAAACTTGGACTTCACAGAAGCCACCCATGACACTGG